CCGCCGAGCCATGGGACGCGGCCCGCGGGCCGCGCTGGCTCTGGGGCTGCTGTGCCTCTGTCTGGGTGAGTAGCGAGCCACGTGGAGGGTGGGCGTCGGCGTTTGCCGGGGACACCGGGACGTAGCCCTGCGCCGATCCAGTCCAGGGGCGTTGGGGACCAGAGAGACAAACGCTGCCAACCACCTGATCCGGCCAGTAGCCCGGCACCCCAGAGTCCCGCTGTTCCGACGGACCTCTGGTCTCCGCTTCCCACGCAGGGCAGGTGGATCGGGCAGGTGGATCGGCAGCTGCTCTGCTGGCGGCGTGGGGAGGGAGGGTCACGGCTTGCAGGGTGACCTCGGTAGGGCACGCCCCTACGGAGCAGGTCCCCAGCCTGCCTGTCGATGAGGAGGAGTGGGTGGCACTTGGATTCTCAGCGCCCAGATGCTGTGTGACCCTGAGAGCCTAGCCCACCAGCCCAGCCCAGCCAGAGGACTTGGAACCTCCTGAGCCCCGGAGGTTCCCTGGTGCTGGGGGTGCTAGGGGGTTCTAGGGGGTGCTTCTCCCGAGAGGGAGGAAGCAGCTCCAGTCCCACACCGGGGCCTGATGAGTGACCAGGCCCTCTCTGTGGTCTGGGTGTCTTTTTGGCCTGGGGTCTGTCTGTTCTCCCATCTGCGTTTTCTCCCTAGCCCAGGCCAACTTCGCCCCTTACTTCTTCGACAATGGGGTGGGCAGCTCGAGCGGGAACATGGCTCTGTTCAGCCTCCCAGAGGACACCCCCGTAGGTGAGTAGCTCTAGTGGCCACCATCCCCAGCCTCTCAAAGAAGCTGCTGGCATCTCCCTGGACGCAGGGACCGAACCCATGACTCCTGTAAGTCCAGGGGCACCCAGAGCCATGCTGAGCAGCCGCCCCAGAGTGCCCTGTTTCACTTGGAATCCCCAGCCCCGCCTGCAGCCAGAAAGGAGGTCAGGCTGCCATGACAACCTAAGCTGGGCCAGGGCCGGTCCTGTGGGTCAGGGCCTCAGCTTCTCGCATGGCCCCAAGGCTCCGCTCCTTCCCGGACCTGTGACCTGGAGTGCCAGGGGTCCCCGCTGCAGCTGCAGGTCAGCCCTTGCTGAGACCTGCAGAGAGCAGCGGGGGAAGGAGCATTACAGCCCCTCTGCCTCCAGGTCTGACCCCTGCTCCAGGCTGGGAGCCCTGGGGAGAGGGGCTGGGGAAGAGAGCGCCTGAAAACCAGAGCAGGCTGGGGCTCAGTCTGCACCAGGGTCACAGGTCACCTGCCTTAACGGGTGCTCCCTCCTCTCAGGGGTGGTAGAAAGGCGGCATTGCCAGACACTGGTAAGGCACAGCAGACTGCCCTCTGGAGCGTCCTGGAGGCCGGCTGGGAAGCAGGGCCGAGGCAGCGGAGGGCCCTGTGGAGCGAGCCGTGGCACTGACCAAATACTCATTCTAGGAACAGCCAAATCTGACTCTGAGCAACGGCCACTTTTTACATTTTTTAATTTTTAGTTTTTACTATAGGATGTGTGCTCACTGGAGAGAGAGAAAAAAGTGAAAAATCCCCTCCACACACACCCCCCGGGGAAATGGCCACACCACAATCCCTTTTCCTCCATTTTCCTCTCGAGATATTTGGGCACACTCGCATACATGCTGGCATGATTTTCAAGTCGCCGGGTCCAGGACTGGAACCATGCACCTTAACCTCCATGCCACCTACTGGCCCGCAGCTGCCACTCTTAGGAACTGCCTGGCCCCAGGTTCCAAGTCTCCGTCCTGCATCTCCTTCCAGGCTCCCACGTGTACACTCTGAATGGGACAGACCCTGAGGGGGACCCCGTCTCCTACAGCATCAGCTTTGACCCCAGCACAAGACGTGTCTTCTCTGTTGATCCCACTTCAGGAAACGTCACCCTGGTCGAAGAGCTGGACAGAGAGGTAGGGAGTTACGGGGAGGGTGTAGGGGACCATGGGGCGGGGGGCTGGGAGAAGAGACTCTTGGGCAGAGTTGGGGGTGCCCTAGGCACTTCCCATTGGCAGAGGAGGCCTCACCCCCACAGTGAGGGGAGCTCCTTTGAGTGGCACCTGCCAGCTGCTCATGCTCAATTAAAAGTCAGTCCACTCCCAGGAGAGGTCTCTGCAGAGGCCTCCTGCTGTGGCTTTTCCCGCCTGTCCTGCAGGCAAAAGCTGCGGCCCCAGCTCCCTCCTGGGTGCGGTGTGTAGCCTGGGCCCCAGCGCCCCTCCCAGCCCCACACCAGACGGGTCGGCTTTGGTGGCCACTCAGCGGGCCTCAGTGGAGGGCTACCGCCCGCTCCAGTGTGGTGACAGTGACAGATCCACTAACCAGAGAGCAGAGGGAGCTTTCAGCACGGCCCTGGGACACAGCAGGGAGCCATGCTGGTTGCCGGCACCCGTCAGGTCTGGGATCAACACCAGGCCTCGCCCAAGTCCTGCCATGTCCTGGAGACATCAGAGACATAGCAGATGGGCACGGACCTCAGAACCCCGGCATAGGGAGTGACGTGGAGAGAGAAGGGGGAGGAAAAAGAAAAGACAGGAAGGGAACCGCCCCCCTCCCGGCCACAGGCACAGGGCAGTGTGGCCCCCACACTAGCCGGAGACCGCGGGGGGACCCCTGACACCTGAAGGCTGCGGCCTCCCTGCCCTGCTCCAGGGCCTCTCTGGCGGGTGTGTGGGCAGGAGAGCACCCCACCCTGGGCGCTTTCAGCGTCCTGGCCACCCACCCAGTCCTGTGCTTCACAGAGGGAGGATGAGCTCGAGGTCACCATCAGCATTTCCGACGGCCTGAGTCTGGTGAGTATGCCTGAGCCAGCCCTGGGCAGAGCCAGAGCGAGCTGGCATGGCCCCTCTGACCCTCCGGCAGGAGCCTGGCAGACCCGAGCCAGAGCTTCACGAGAGCTGCCCAGACTGCCCCAGGAAAGGGCTGTGGCTGGGCAGGGGGAGGCGGGAAGGGGCGGTGGTGCAGAGACGCAGTGCTCCAGGAGAACCTGATGCTGCCCACACCCCGCAGCACCTGTGCGACCCCCTCCAGTGTCCCCTCCACCTGCTCACTGTCGCCCTGGCTCAGCCCTGGGCACCCAGGCTCTCCCTCCCTCCTTCCCCACAGCCCTGACTGTGCTTTTGGGAAGGCTGCTATAGGCCCCTGGGCCTCCTGGCCTCCCCTTTCTGCCCCCAAAGCGTCACCAGTTCTATCAGTGCAGAACGTAGGCCTGGCCACTCCACTCAGAGTGTGCCAACAGCCAGTCCCCCCAAGGATGAGACCCAGGCTTCACTCGGCACTCAGCGCCTCCCGCCGGGCACCAGACACCGGGCACCATGGGCCTCTGCACTTTGCCCCCTCCGTGCAGCTCATGCCCGTGCACTCCCCGAACTCATGCACTTCAGCCTCTGCCTTGGTACACGCAGCCCCCTCCTGGTACACGCCACCTCCTTCCTCTGGCACACCTGCCACAGGGCTCATCCCCACGCCTCGGAGAACCCTCTCTGCCCTCCAGAACCACGGCCTCGGTTAGATGCCTCTACCCAGGATCCCTGGTGCGGCTCCCACAGCCCCGTGGGCTGCGCTGCAGGGGCGTGGAGCCTCTGTTGGAGCGGTGCGTGCTGCCTGGTGCTTGCACACCGCCAGGACCCTGCAGGGCTGGCCCACGTTCTCCTGTACAGATCTCTGCTCTGCCTTTGGCCCCGTGACACTGCGAGTGTGGAGATGGAGCAGGGTGGCCCCGAGTGGTGCTCAGTGGCCTTCAGTGCGTAAATGAATGAGAGGAGGAGGACGAGGCAGAGTCGCATACCGGGGTGTTTATCCCGAGGGCCACACTGCCCCAGCTCCTGACTGCCCCACCTTCTCAGGTGTCAGAAAAAGTTGTGATCCTGGTGACAGATGCCAATGACGAGGCCCCCAGGTTCACACAGGAGCCGTATGTCGTCCTGGTTCCCGAGGTGAGAAAGGGACCTCGGCGGGCTGACACCCCACCAGGACCAGGCTGGCTCATGGGCCCTGCGACCTGGCCGGGGCAGACGGAGCGACAGCCGTGTCCCTCACTCTGCCCTCCTCACCCTCCCACCTCCATCATCACCCCCTCCAGTTCACTTTGTTCCGAGGCAATGTTCACTTGCTCTTTTTCATTATAATCATCATGAATATTTATTGTAGGAATGTGAAAGCTAGAGGGAAAAAGCATTTTTAAAATTCCCCTCAATCCTTCGAACTTGAGCCATTGTTATGTTTTTGTGTATTTCCTTCTAGTCTTTGTGTGTGTGATTATGGGTTTGTTTCTGGTTTTGTATTTTTCTGTCTATTTGTCATAGTTGTAATTAGACAAAATATACGTTCTATATCCTATTTGTCAATTGATAATGCCAGCATCTCCTCGGTAGCTGTGAAGTCTGAAAGACTACCTTTTTAATAGTTTGACCAAGAAATATTCCATCCCTTACTGAATCAAGCCCTGACGTTTGGATATTGAAGAAGCGCTGAGTTCTCGCTGCCGTGGGCTGGCCCATAGCACAGCAGCCAGGCTCAGAGCATGGGAATCAGAGCCCACATGGCCGGCTGTGGTCTGCATCCAACCCAGGCAGCCTGAGAAACTCACTGGGCATGTGGGTGTGGTGCGTGTGCCCCAATCTTGGCCGCTGGAGAGACGGCAGAGGGCTGCTGCGTGGTCACACCTATTCGGGGTTTCTGTCTCTGTCACTCTGGCAGGTGCACCCAGTCTCTGGCAATTAACAAAACACCAGCCTTTTTTTTAAGCTTTGCTGTGGGCCAGCAGGTAGCGCGGAGGTTCCGACGGCTGGATCCCACATGGCTGAATGCGTGGTTTGAGTTCCAGACCGGTGGCCTGAAAATCGTGCTGGGCACTTGTGTGTACCTAAAGTCCCGAGAGGAGAGTGGAGGGGAAGGGATTGCAGTGCAGCGCCCCCCCGGGGTGACTTCTCACTTTCCCTCTCTGTCTGTCTCTCTGTCTCTCCATTTCTCTGTCTCTCCCAGGCGAATGTACATACCCTGTAGCAAAATTTTTAAAAAATGGTATCGGGAACCAGCAGTTAGCATAATGGCTATGTCGCTGGACTCCCACGTAGTTGACCGTGGTTCACGTCCCGGACCGGGTGGCTTAAAACTCACGCCGGGCGCGTGTGGGTGCGTGCCCAAGATCCCGAGAGGAGAATGGAGGAGAAGGGATTGCGGCGTGACCATCCCCCCTGCGGGGTGATTTCTCGCTTTCTGTCTCTATGTCTCTCTCTGTCTGGCGAGCACATGCGCCCTATAGTGAAAACCTCTCCAAAAAAAAAAAAAAAAAAAGGTATCATAAGAAACACTAACTTCTGAGCGTAAGAATTATTTTCCCTTTAATTGGGATTATTTTCTTAAGATACAAGTTAAGGTTTGAAATTATTAGACCCTGCGGGGTGATTTCTCGCTTTCTGTCTCTATGTCTCTCTCTGTCTGGCGAGCACATGCGCCCTATAGTGAAAACCTCTCCAAAAAAAAAAAAAAAAAAAGGTATCATAAGAAACACTAACTTCTGAGCGTAAGAATTATTTTCCCTTTAATTGGGATTATTTTCTTAAGATACAAGTTAAGGTTTGAAATTATTAGACCCAAACCGCCAATGCGGGCGGGCGTCACACCGTTCCCAGAATAGCACCCTCAAGCCCTGTCCCCGCCCAGCCTGGGCTTCTCAGAGCACGGGATGCTGGCTATTTCGGTGGGAGGCTGTGGTTCTGGCTGTCAGCCCTCTGTGCATGACCCCCTGACCCTCACGTGGCCTGCTCTGAACCACGTTCTCGTCCATGGGTGGCTACCGTAGTTAAGCCTCCGTCTGTCTGGGGCCGGGCTTTCCCCGCGCTCCGAGTTCTCCAGCATGTGTGTTTTTGCTCCTCATTGTCCCCCTCCCCTGCATCCCTCGGGCTCCCAAGGGTCTCTGCGGCTGCCCTGGTGCCACACCCTGCATCCCCTGCCTTTCACGCCTCTGCTCTTCACGTCCCTGACCCCAGCCCCCCATGGCCTCATGCTTCTGGCTCCCCGAGTGTCCTGTCACCATCCTGACACTCCCTGTGACTCGCCCCTCAGGACACACCTGCGGGGAGCAGCATCTTCAAGGTCCAGGCGGTGGACCAGGACACGGGCTCTGGAGGCAGCGTCGCCTACTTCCTGCAGGTGAGATGGGTGCGGATGCCACCGGGGCCGGGCTGCGGGGCACTGGAGGCTCCCACCCCCGCCAAGGCCTGGGCCAGCGCCTCTGCCGTTCCCGAAGGGGAGGCATGAGGCAGGGGAGAAGATTGTCCCATGCCCCTCCTGCCTCCTGTGTCTTCAGAGCCGGCCTGTCCCTCCCCAGCAGGCCCCCAGGCCCCTTGGCTCCCACTTACAGCCCCTTCCCAGGAGAAGGCCCCGCCTTCCCCCCCAGGGGGAAAGAACCTGTCTGGGCCTGGATGGTCAACAGGAAAGAGGGCCGAAGGGGCAGCCAGGAGCCAGCACGCACCCTCCCGGAGCAGACACCTTCCCTGCAAGCTGCACTGACTCCACGGCACTTCCTCTTCTCCCCGCCTAGTCGCCTGCCCTCGTGCCTTTGAGGCAGTGGGCTAAATGCAGGCTAAATGCAAAGGTTCTGAGAGCGCCCAGGACTCCATGGCCCAGGGAGACCCACCACTGACCCCTGAGTGACTCCCACCGCCATCTAACCTACCCTCGCTCCGGTGCAGCACAGAGAGACAGGCACACGAGGAGGGCTCCACCCTAGGAAGGCTCCCACAGGCTGCCACACTCGGGGCCTGGCCCCACCCCCAGAAGGCTCCTCCACACCCACAGGAGGTGGCGCCCCCACACCTTTCCTGAGCTGGACCTCACCTCCACCGGTCAGGGCTGGTGTATAGACATCAGCCCTATGGTGCTTTTTTTTTTTTTAGAGAGATTTTTGCTATAGGGCACGTGTGCTGGCCAGAGAGACAGGAAGCGAGAAATCACCCCCCAGGGGGAATGACCACGCTGCAATCCCTTCTCCATTCTCCCCTCAGGATTTTGAGCATGCATTCATATGCTCCTGGTGTGAGTTTTAAGCCACTGGGTTCAGGAATTGAACCATGGTGGACTACATGGGAGTCCAGCGATGTAACCACTACGCCATCAGCCCTGTGGTGCTTTGAAGGTCCTGGTTGCCCTCTCCTTCCAGACTTTCCGGTGCCCCTCTAGGCATGGCGCTGGCAGAGCCGTCCAGCTATGGGAAGCACCAGGCAGCGCTCCCCAAGAGCTGAGCCCAGAGCATAGCCGAGGCCCTGCTGCAGGGAGAGGCCTACTCTCAGCAGGGGTGAGGGAGGAGAAGCTTGGGCCTGTGAGGGGAACCTGAGCTGGGTGACAGAGGTGCCCTGCAGTGGGATCCTCCGCTCTGATCCCTGGAGAGGGCCGAGGACCCTCCCCAGAGCAGAACCGGCATTCCCTGGGGACCTGGCTCTTGCAGAACCCGCACTCCACCATCTTTGCCGTGGACCACCTCAGCGGGGAGCTGCACCTCCAGGAGGGGGCCACTCTGGACTACGAGAAGTCACGGACCCACCTCATCACGGTGCTCGCCAAGGTAGGAGAGGGTGGCACAGGGCCCAGACTTCCCAGAGTTCAGGGGCTGCAGAGAACCCCAGGGTGGCAGCGGCGGCCGGCTGAGCAGGAGCACAGCAGGTGCAGGGCCAGGGTCCCGGCAGCTGCTCGGAGTCTGTCCTGCCCCACACGCCATCTGGGATCTGGGGTCTGGGAACTGGGAGGCTCAGGCTCTTGCAGGGGAGCAGGTCGCCCAGAGGCCAGGGGCTGTGGTGGAGAGATGTCTCCCTTCCTCCCCAGTGACAGAGCCTGGGGTGCCTCCCTCTCTCTGGCCAGGCCTGCCAACCCACCTCCTCCCCTGTGTGAGCCTCAGTCTCATCTGCCACCCAAAGCTTACCAAGCCCCTCCTATTTGCGAGGTGCCCGAGGGGCTCAGCCGACGCTGCTTCCCAGGGTGCAGGCGGCATCTGTGGTCACGTTGGCTCAGCCGCTGCACTTCCAGGAGCCACCTAGGTCCCCACTGCCAGCTCCACCGCAGGTGCTGCTCGGGTGCTTCCCAGGACCAGGCCCAGGCCTCAGTATAGTGAGCGAGGGCTCCCCAGGAACGTTCCGGCCGCCAGCCCTGCCCGAGGGAGTCTGCTCTGAGCCCTCCCCGTCCTCCTCCTCACAGCATGTCACAGCATGTCGTCTGATGTCCCAGCTCCCCTGTGAGGGGTGGTTTCTCCACTAGACTGGGACGAGCGACATGGGGCAGCTGCCTTGGCCAGCAGGGGCAGGCCCAGATAGGAGGAGCGCGGCCTTCCCGGTGCCCGGCCTGCCTCCACTCACCTCCTTCTTCCCCAGGACGGCGGGGGCAGGCTTCACGGGGCTGACATGGTCTTCACAGCCACGGCCACCGTCACAGTCAACGTGGAGGACATCCAGGACACAGCACCCATCTTCGTGGGCACACCCTACTACGGTTACGTGTATGAGGACACCCTTCCGGTGGGTGCTGCGCCCGTCCCCAGTCCCCTCAGACACCCTTGCCCTGACCCCTTGCTGGGCTGGACCCTGGTCACACTCCTCACACGCGGCCACGGGCGGGCCCTGTTGCTCTGGAATGTGCCGCCAGTCCTGGCCTCCAGGCTGCCAGTCCACCCCGGCCCCGGCCCCGGCCCCAGGAGGCTGAGTCCAGGGGCTGAGAGCAGAACGTGCCGTGGCTGGCGCCCTCCTCCCACCTGGTAGGGGTGCGGTTTCCTCCGCTGCCCCCGTGCCCCATGCTGGTGGCCAGGGCCCCGCAGACCACAGCCCTGTCGGACATCCCCCTGACCCACGTCCTGCTCGGGGCACAGCGGCATCCGCCTGCCCCTCAGTGCAATCCCGCCCTGCGGCTCAGGCTGCCATGCTGGTCTCCGGGCCTCTCCAAGGCTGTCCAGCAGCGCCGCCCCTCGGCCTGGCAGAGGCTCACCACCGGTCACCACCCTCTGCGTCCTCGCCCTCTGTCCACACCCCCTCAGCTGGGCCTCAGCCTGGGCACTGCCTTCAGACCTTTGGGGTCAGGGTGTGCCCTGCACCCTCTATGAGCTCCTCCTGGGTGTGCTCGCGTTCATGTGACCACCCTGCCCTGAGCACCCTGCGGGCAGAGGCCGGCTGGAGCTGCCGAGGACCCTGTGGACCCGCGGTGCGCTCTCAACAACTCCTGCTCAGGCTGTTCCTGACCTCGTAAAACCAGGAAGAGCTTACGGAGGACTGTCCCGGGCTGCAGCAGGGAGGGGCTGCCCAGGCCCAAAAGCCACCTGTGAAGGGTGACTCCAAAGGAGGCAGAACAGGCAGGGGGGCTGAGTCGGGGCATGGAGGGGGCCAGGGCAAAGGCTGAGCCAGGCGTCCGACCAGACTTGGTAGCTGGGCCGGCCCGCCCAGTGGTTGGGAGTCAGGCCCCACACAGTCCACTGTGCCTCAGGAATGGGAGAGCACACGGGGCACATGTGTGTGCGCCGACCCCACAGGAGGAGAAATGGAGGGGACGGGATCGTGGCATGACCGTGCCCACTGGGAGGGGGCCAGGGCAAAGGCTGAGCCAGGCGTCCGACCAGACTTGGTAGCTGGGCCGGCCCGCCCAGTGGTTGGGAGTCAGGCCCCACACAGTCCACTGTGCCTCAGGAATGGGAGAGCACACGGGGCACATGTGTGTGCGCCGACCCCACAGGAGGAGAAATGGAGGGGACGGGATCGTGGCATGACCGTGCCCACTGGGGGGTGCTTCCCCCATCTCTCTGTGCAACCACACGTGTTCAAAAAAAAAAAAAAAAAAATCAGACTTGTTTAGTTGAGACCCTACCTAAACCCTCCAAAGGGTACCCCGGGACGCAGAATGAGACCCTCCTTGCAGATCTTTGCATGCTGGTGCCTGGACAACCTCTCCCACTTCTCCCCTCCCCTCATGGGGCGGGACAGGAGAGGGCAGACAGGCAGCAGCTGGGGTCGGGTGGGGCAGAGCTGGCAGGGTAGGGCAGGCCAGCCTGGGTCGGGTGGGGCAGAGCTGGCAGGGGAGGGCAGGCCAGCCTGTGGGACAGGGTCAGTCAGGAGGCCCGACTGCCCTGGGCAGCAAGTGTGTTGACCCTGTGGCGGGGAGGGGCACAGGGGCTCAGCCCATGTCTGGGCGCCAGGGCGACCAGAGCTGCCGGCAGAGTAGAGCGGCACACAGGCTTTGGTGGGGAGGCCCCTCCGATCATGTCGAGGCGTGTCTGGGAGGGAGAGCCCAAATGGCCCCCAGCCTCAGACACTGGCCCCTGTTCCCAAGGGCTCCGAGGTGCTGAAGGTGGTCGCCATGGATGGAGACCAGGGCAAACCCCACCGCGTGGTCTACAGCCTGGTGAATGGTGAGTGGGGGCAAAAAGCATGCAGCTCTGACACTGGGTGACCAGAGGGACATTCCCAAGCTCGCTGGGTCCCAGCTCCCTCCCCACAGGACCAGAGTGCAAGACATGTGGAGAGCAGGGACTGGCCCCACGATGGCAGGTCACCTAAGACACATGCTCCACCCTGCCTTCACGTCCAGCAACAGGGAGAGGCAGGGGGGTGCCAACTCACGTCCCCCCTCCCCGGGCACAGGCTCGTGGACGGCAGGGGCCAGCTCTTGCGCCTACGATGCTGTAGTTTTTCCCAATCTCCTCGGCTGCTTGGCCCAGAGCACCTCGCGGAGTTAAGTGAGTCAAAGGTGGTGACGACATGGCCTCTCCCTGGTGCCAGCCCCGCGTGGGCACGGCTGAGACGTGGAGGAAGTTGCTGCCCAGGATCCGAACCTGGATCCCGACGGCTGCCGTCCATGGGTTTGCACGGTGGGCAGCTCTGAGCAGGCGGTGGTGTCCTGGGTGGGCCCTGCAGGCCAGGCCTCCCGCCTGGCGCCTGCGCCCAGTCACGCCCACATCTATAGGACCTCCCCAGAGACCGCCGCCTCCCGCTGACCCCACAGCACACCCAGTACACACCCACCCACCACTGGCTCACACAAGAGCTCACGTGCCTCCTCATACGTGCTCCTTCCTAGGCCCCAGACCCTGGACCCACTGCAGAGACCCCCGCCCTCCCCCTCCCCGCCGGCCTCACCTCCTTCTCAGCGTCTTTTCTATCCCCCGGTCCTCTTTCTCCTCCTTTCCTTCTCTCCCCCTTCCTTATCTCTCTGTCCAGTGTCTCCTCCCACCTCCATTTCTCTATACTTGACTCACACACACACGTGCATGCACACACATGTGCACGCGGTATTGTGTGAGAAGGGGCACACCTGGAGTGCGTTCAAAGTCCAGCTGCACACGCCTGTGTGACCTCGCAGTGACTCAGCCCTTCTGAGACTCACTGGCCAGACGCGGTGTCAGGGCCACGCTATGAGGACCGCCGCAGGGCCACGTGAGCCCACCTGCTCCCCGCACCCGCGGTGGCTGCGCACGACTACAGGGCACTTCTCCCTCAGGGAGTGACGGAGCCTTCGCGATGAACGAGACGTCGGGCAGCATCTTCGTCAGGCAGAGCCCTGCCCAGCTCCGGAGGGAGGTGTATGAGCTGCTGGTACAGGTACCCCCTCTCTGGCCGGTCTCCTTCCTCTGGTCCCGGAAAGCCACAAAGGCCAGGGGACCCGGGGTCACCCACGGGGATGGCCGTCACGGTGGCCCCAGGAAACTCGGCGCCAACGTGGGGCTGCAGTAGGTGTCCACGAAGCTCGGCGGGAGACCCATCCCGAAGGGGCGAGCACGGGGAGGCAGGAGGAGGCAGAGCAGGGGCAGCAATGCCGAGCACCGCGCCCTGAGCCAGAGCTCCTAGGGCTCCAGCTGGGAGACCCGCGCTGGCCGGGAGACCCCCCTCCAAGGCCACGGCCCCCTGTGGGCCAGAGAGGATGGGAGCCCAGGCCCGGAGTGTGAGGCACGGGCTGTCCCCTGGCAGGCAAGCAAAGCGGGAGGTGAGCTCGGTGTTTCCAGACATTCCAGCCAAAACACCCTGACCTGGACACGCGGGTTTGGACGTCGAGGCGACAGTGTGCCTCACAGAGAGCTGTGCAAGACCAGAGCTGCTGAGCTCACCGAAGTGTGGCTGTCAGAGAGACCACAGCTGCAGGAGTGTCAGAGACACGGGTGGGGTCAGGCGGAGGAGGCCCAGGAGGGGGCAGAGGTCCGGGAACCTTCCCAGAAGGAACAGAGCCCTGGGGGTGCAGGAGTGGCAGCGCTGAGCCTTGAAGTCAGTGTGGAAACTAAGTGGGGAGGAAGAATTGGAGCCCGCAGGAGTGAGCTGCTGAGCAGGGGGAGAGCTGGGAGAGCAGCCGCAGTGCGGGGGAGTGAGGTCCAGGGAGGGTCAGTTTAGGATAGGTAGGACCAGACCCCGCCATGGAACGAAGGACAGGGGGTCCTTGAAGGGACTGCAGCATTTGCCACACGATTCTGAGGGGCGTGTGGACTCAGCCCGGCTCTGAGGCCCACGTTGGTCATCCGTGGCTGCCGAGCCAGTTACCCCACACAGAGCGGCTTCAAACAACACGCCTGTCTGAACTGCAGTTCTGGGTCTGAGTCCAGGCTTGGCGTGGCTGGGTGCTCTGTTTCAGTCTCTCCCAGGGTCTGCATCAGGCTGTCAGCCAGGATGGGGGTCTCATCTGAAGGCTTGCCCGGGAGAGGACAGCTTCAACCTGTCGACAGAAATAACCGAGCTCTGCAGGAATAATAACTCATGTGGCTTATTGCTAAGTGACAGCGAGTGACACACCTGGACAAAGGCAGAAACTTCTGTCTAGTTCAGAGAGCTGGGGCGTGCTTTACATTGGCCTGGCCCGGGGAGGAGGGGGATCAGGAAGCAGAGGTGCCGGAAGAGCATGGCTTCCGACGCAGAGGCTTGTAGGTATTGGATTGGTTTGACATTCTTAGATTAGTAATTGGTTCAGGAAAACCACAATTCTGAAAGGAATCAGTTAAAGGATGTCTCCAGGAGGTGAGAAGGCTTACTACGCACCGTCAATTCGATCCTCGGGACAGGGTTAGCGTCCCACTGTCGAAGTGGGCCAGAGCATCCTGTCAATGTTCGTAGGCTCTGTTAGTGTCTGTAGACATGACTCTCCTAATCCCCCGGGAAACAACTTTGGAACAGGAAAGAGGGGT